CTCTGTCTTAAAACATCTCATTAAAAAAAATGGAAAAAATGTCTTAAAAGCATAGCATTGTCATACCTCCTGTCCCAAAAAAGCCATCAATATCAAAAGATGGCTTCATTTTTAAAAACCCTTAGACTTACGCTATTATTACAAACAATACATATACATTACATTGACTTAAAGCAAGCAAACTTTCCCTAATACAGTCTATTTCAATCCATTTTTTCTCACCACTGATTGCCAACATTTTCCTTCATCCCAGTCATGACAACGCTTCAGCAATTATGTTCTCTCGTCCTGCCACATGTACAATTTTCAAATTGATTGGCTACAACAATAAGCTCCAAATAAACTGTCTGGAATTTTTGTCCTTCAGTTTCTCTGAAAGCTTTAAGGGGTTAGTATCAGTACATACAATTGTCTCAGACACATTACTAGCAATTTAAATGTTAAAATGTTGTAATGCCAACACAAAGCTCAAGGTTTCTTTTTTAATCATGGAATATTTCCATTGATGATAATTCAATTTTCTTGACTCACCAATTTCTTTACTAGTCATCTCACCTCACCAAAAAAATAATTCAAATGGACTGAATTTGGTAGATTCTTTAGGTGCATCCTTAATTGCAAAAAGTACGTAGGGAATTCCTTTATCCTAATCCTCTGGATATTCTTGACTACATGTCCTCAACATGGTCCTTAAAGTTTGATGCCACTGCTTACTGCTCCCTGTGAGTCTGGATTGTACACAGTGGATTTGAATTGTTTTATTTCTAAGTTATGCATAACTTCCTGAATAATTTTGATGTAAAATTGTACCTTGATCTTATTGTATCTTTGTGGGTAGTCTGTATCTAGTAAAACAAAATTGAGTAACTCTTCTACAATCCTTTCAGCAGTGATACTGTGGAATGGAAAGGCCTCTAGAAATCTAGTGGATAAATCTATTATGGTCAACAAATGCTGACTCTTACTTTTTGCTTTAATAGGCATCCTATGCAATCAATTAAGACTCTTGTAAAACGTTCTTCAAATGTGGAAATGGTACTGGTTTTATCACTGCCTGAGGTTTTCCAATTTCCTGACAAATATGACATGTTTGGCAAAATTTAACCATATCCTTGTGCAACCCAGGCCAATAAAGATGTTTTTGTATTGCAGCTTGAATTTTTCTTACTCCCAAATGACCTCCTGCTGGTAATTCATGTGCTACCTGCAACACTTCCTTTCTATAACCCATCAGTAATACAGATTGATGAGATCCTGCCCATTTTCATTCACCTGAATATAGTAACATTCCAGGATACACTCAGATTATTCTTCTGTGTACACTTTGTAATACAACTACTTTAGTTTTTCACGTTTCTGTTGTAATTCAGTTAATTTCTCTGAACTAAAAATACCCACTTTGTCCTTCACCTGTACTTATGTTTTTCTCTCAACCATTTGATCAAACGTGGTCTCTGCTAATTGTACTTCAATTTCCTTATCTTCATTCTTTGATTTCTCCTCCTGCTTCATCCAGTGGTTTTGTGACCTTATTAGCTCCTAAGAAAAATCCTACTATATACTTCCTGTAATAAAAACAGAAATTGGGGGAAAAGCACAGCAGGCCTGGCAGCATTCTATGAAGAGATCTGAGTTAGTATTTCGGGTCCGGTGACCCTTCCTCAGTTTTGATGCTGCCAGACCTGCTGAGCTTTTCCCCCAGTTTCTGAACTCATGACCCGGTCAGTTCATGACCGAGAAATAAATAAACTCAAAGCACAGGTAAAAACCATGCATGAGCAACTGCAGATGGAGAGATCCAAACGAGAGGAGGCCGAAGTTAAAAATCAGGAGCTTGTAAAGGAGAACAGGAAACTGAAAGATGAACTGACAGTTTTGTCATTTTCTCCCCTGGCTCCAAAACCAATGCCGAGCCCATACCCAACCACCTGCGAAATCCAGGAAGTGATTAAACGAAACAAAGCAATGGCTCTTAAGCTGAGGAATCCTCAGGCAGCAACAGTGATGAAGACTATACACCCCAATACCCTTTCTACAGTCCCTTAAAGCCAAAAAAAGTAAAAATTGAGAAATTAGTGAGACAAAGATTAGAGGACGGCAGGGAAGTAGATGTCCCGGTGAGGCAGACCGAAAACCATATTGTACATGTGCCTGCGGTCCCTGAGAACATTAACAGGCAGTCTAAAGAAATGCCTCATCCAAAGAAAGGGCCAATGAAAACCTGGGAAAGCCTAGACCAGTTAAGGGGAATATACCTGCTCCATCGCTGGGATGGGGTACAAATCCTCACTGTCATAGTCACCAAGAGAGAGGGACGCCACCTCCATGAGGCAGTTAAAGGTGCCCTCGGGGAGTACGAGCAGGAGCTGCAAGCTGGCTGGACAGCAATAAAACGGTGGCTAGGGGATATAGTCCACCTAAGACTGATTGGACAAAGGTCACAGCCTGCTGTCAAAAAGCCACTGAGGAAGTCCCCGAATATGAGGAAAGGTTTAGGACAACGTCGAAGGAATATGGAGGGGTGCCACATGTAAAGGATGATAAAGGTTTTGAAAACTGCGACTACGGCCCACTGAAATCTGCCTTTGTTGCAGGACTCAAACCAGAGCTCTCCAAAATGCTGAAAATCAATAAACCAGATTGGGACCAAAGGGGGACCAAATGCGATGAACTGGTTAACCGAGCCCACCAGCTCGACCGGGATATGGGAGCTCAGGTGCGAGCCCTGCAGACAGGACAAGTGAGACAGACCCCCAGCAACCCCGGAAAAACCCAGGTCAGACGCCCAGGGAAATGTCACATCTGTGGGAAGGAGAGTCACTGGTCCAAGAATTGCTGGCACAGGGGGAAAGGGCACAGCCCCCCTAAGAGCCCTAAAGAAAGAGAAACCCTGGTTGCAGGAAATAATCCCGATCTCCTGGAACAGTTCAAAAGGCTGTCCATCCAACAGCAGCAGGAGCTGCTAAATTTGACAAAAAACTGAATGAGCCCACCCCGTGTCCCTCCACGCTCCTACTGGCTTTATGCCAGCAGAGGGGAGACGGACTCTATGTGACCATGAAGGCGGGTGACCTAGATATTGAGTGTCTCTTGGACGCAGGAGCAGAATTAACATGCCTTCCCCGCAAGTATGAAGCCAAGCCCCCACTAGACGGTACAGTAAGGGGCTTCCTCACAGGTATCGGCTTCCTGGAAAGACCCACCAGAGGGAGGACACAACATCGTACCTGGCGAGTGGGTACTCGTGAAGAAGGCCCACAAGGAACCATTGGATGCGAAGTGGGAGGGACCATACCAATTACTACTGATTACCCAGTCAGCTGTCAAGGTTCGGGGAAAGAAGGCCTGGATTCATACTTCACATATCAAACGGACATCACACCATCCATTTCATTTATTTCGCCACTTTCTCAAGTGAAATGATGAAGGTTTCTGCATCCTTCTCTTTGAAGTTAAGCAATGCTTGGGCGTATTTAAACAGATCCCCACCAGGCCTTTGGCTACAATGGAATCACTCTCCATCACTGTCTTCATCTCTACCTCTGCCATTTTAAGTCAACTTTGAGTTCTCAGTTCCAGCCTCTGAAGTTCAAAAACTCTCCTTTCCTCATTTTCTTCCCTCTCTTTCTCCCTTTCTTTTCTTTTCGTATGCTTTTTCTCTGCTTTCAATGGTAATTCAAACTGTTTCATTTCCCTTTCTTTTTGTTCAGCCAGGGCTAGTCTTTCCCCTGTGATTCAAATTGCTTCATGTGCAATTGAATATTAGCCATTTTGAAAAATTCTAATGGCATTCCTAACAACTGTAAATGTTGCACAATTGCCACAAATATTTTCCCTTTTCTCACAGATACAGCCAATTGCAACTCCAATTTTTTTGCCAAGTCCAAAAGCTTTGCCTTGCTCACATTTTGTAAAACTTCTAAAGTGACCTCTTCCACCCCCAAGATACTCTTAGTGACTTAAATAATTATTATTACACCAAGCACATCCTGTTTAAACCAACTGAATTCAACACCCAAAATAAACGACATGAACACTGACCACTCACTGCCTTTGAGTCCAATAATCCTAAACCAACCTGGAATTAGAGATTTCGATAACAGTTGAGCCCTCAATTTGTTAAGGACCAGACCAGACCACCTCAAAATATATTAAGAAGGCAGTGAAGACCCTAACTTTTTCTTATTTTAAAGGTAAATGTGAGGTGCTGTGTTCCGGATGCAATATGATTGGTCAAACTTCTCAACACTAAGCAAAACACAACTTATTTAAACACTGTAGTTAAAATGCAATGAAAAGAAAGGAACTTGGAACAACTTAACTCTATTGGAAAACTTAACAATATGATAGTTAAAGTAACCGTTACTAACTAACTATTCTAATATAGCAACATCCCATTAACATACCATAGGCAAATTCAGAACACAGATTGTCCCAAATACAACTCCCATAGAGGCAGAGAACCCTCAAATTTTGGCTGTAACCAAGAGAGGGACAAAAATGTCTCTTCAAGACTCCAACAGCAACCGCTGAAATCTAAACTAAAGATCCTGATTCTGTGGGAGTTTGACCACACCATTCAAGTTGCTTTACAACTAGACACATCCCCACCTCTGTCATAAATCCTCTCTTTAAAAAATGGGGGAAAAAGACCTCTTAAAGCCATAGATTTGTTATCAACATAATCATAGAATCCCTATAGTGTGGAAACAGGCCCTTCAGCCCAACAAGTCCACACTGAACCTCAGAGCATCCCACCCAGACCCACCCCCCTATAACCCACCACATCCCTGAACATTATGGGCAATTTAGCATGGCCAATCCACCTAGCCTACATATCTTTGGACTGTGGGAAGAAACCAGAGCAAACCCATGCAGACACAGGGAAAATGTGCAAACTCCACACAGACAGTCACCCAAGGGTGGAATCGAACCTGGGTCCCTGGTGCTGTGAGGCAGCAGTGCTAACCACTGTGCCACCCCAAAGTGAAGGAGCAAACCGTCTCTGGGTGGGTTTGAGCCACCGACCTTTCAGTTAACAGCCAAACACGCTAACCGACAGCGCCACAGAGACAGGCTCTGAACTCTTGTTATCTTACTTTTGAAAGACTCCCATTTGCCAGCCCGTCACTTGTGAATGGACCACTCAATCAACTTTTGAAAGCTACTGTCATGTACCAGTAAAATTTACCTTGCTCCAATTCAGAACTTTAACTTTTATACAAGGCTTATCATTTTCCATAACTGTTTTAAAATCAATAAAATTATGATCACTGTTCCCAAGTGCTCCTCCACTAACACTTCAGTCACTTGCCCTGCCTTATTTCCAAAGAGAAGTTCAAGCTCTGTGCCTTCTCTGGTAAGTACATCTAAAATTTGATGAAAACAATTTTCTTGAACACATTTCACAAATTCCTCATCATGCAAATGCTTAACACTATGACAGTTCCAGTCTATGTTTGGAAAGTTAAAATCTGCTACTATTACAACTCTATCATTCTTACAGATATCTGAGATCTGCCTACATATTTGCTCCTCAGTTTCCTGCTGACTACTAAGGGGCCTATCGTACAATCCCATCAAGGTGATCATTCCCTTCTTATCTCTGAGTTCCACCCATATAGCTTCACTGGAAGATCCCTTATAAATATTCTCCCTATGTACACCGGTAATGTTTTCCCGAATCAAAAATGCCACCCCTCCTCCTCACTTGCCTCCCTTTCTATCCTTCCTATAGCATCTATAGGAAATTGAGCTGCCAGTCCTGTTCCTCCTTCAGCCATGTTTCTGTAATAGCAATGATGTCCCAGTTTCATGTTCCCGTACATACCCTGAGTTCATCCTGGTACTCCCTTCCAGGGACTGTGGGTGTGCCTACACCACATGGGTCGCAGCAGTTCAAGAAAGTGTTTCTCCATCTTCTCCAAGCAGTCACATCCCATCAAATTAAGAATTGATATGGCAAGCAAAACTTTGGACCAAGCCACAGAAAGAGATATGCAGGCAGACACTTGGTCGGATCTCAAAGAATGTCTTAAGGATAGAGAAGAGGTTGGGTTTAAGAAGGAAATTGCAAAGTTTAAGACTTGAATTGCAGAGGCCATGGAGCATTATTTGCATTTATACATTAATACATGACAAATAAATGTAAATCCCAGTGTGTGTACAGTGTGTACAATTAAGCATTGCTCTGTGTAAAACCTGCTGTTTAGAAAGTCACATTTGGATTATATTACAATATAGACAGTTTGTCTTTATTCTTCTTGTGTTCGAGGTGGAAAAGAAAAGAGTAGACCTCTTCTGTGAAAAAAGCAAATCAGTATAAATAAAATGTCACATTTAACAAAACAGCTCTCAGCATTTATGGTCAAATAAACTTGATTTAAGAATTTCAGAGGTGCAGTTTTTGAACTCTGACTGAACCCAAACTTTGTAGTTACATTAGATTAGCACAAAGCATTTTGCTGCAAAAATGACCTCAGTCTGAGAAGTTGTTCTGTCCGTGCACAGCCATCTGATTGCACAATGATGACTGACCAGAATGTCCAATAGAAGTTGCTCACAATTACTTCTTTTGGTACTGTATCACTAAGGATCAATCGTAAGTGCCAAACATAAAAATAATGGCAGGCAGTCTGAGTTTCATACCTCTCTTCAAACATAGAAATATTTGCACAAAAGAGATTTTTGAAATCAGGTATCGATCACATTATTGAAACATTTCTTATTCTGTTGTTTACTTCTCCTGTAATGATGTGAATATCATTATAATTGGAGCAACTGATATGAAACGGTCTCTCCTTCATTATCTTTTGAAAGGTGAATGTAATGGTCTTCAGCCTGAAGGACTGACAAGAGAATTAGTACAAACCCTTGTAGGTAACAAATATTCTTTATATCCTAACTTTAAAATTCTGGCATGTACAAACCTGCATTCAAAGTTATAAGCTTCATTTCCACTGCTTGATCAATTAGAGGCAACTCAATGTTTCAGACATTTGCTCTTGTTTAAATTTATACTGGCTAGTTGACTTTGAAAGATAATGTACTATACATTGTCACACAAATCCTAATAAATAGGATAACTATAATTAGTTACCTCAATGGCTTTTTGCCAAATGGCCAACAGAAAATGCAGGATATTTGGGAAGTTAATTTGTGAAGAATGCAACTGCTGTGGGTAGACAGATGAGTTGCAGAATCAAAATGTTGTACTTATGGCATGAAAATGTGTTAAAGATTTATAGTTATAGATACATATTAATGGATTCCTTCTATTGCAGCCCTGCATTTTTATTCTTTACAAATCAATTATTTAATTACAATTGGATACGCTTCCACCAGCCACTTTGGCAGCATATGCCAGATTATAATTGTTTCCTGTGTGAATAAATTCTTCCTCACAATGCTACTGTTTCTGCTCCCAATCAGCGTAAATCAGTGTCCTCCGTTTCTTGATAATTCCACTGATGATACTTTTATTCCTCCATATCTGCTTTGTCCAGTTCCACTTGAATTTTAACACTTCTATAAATCTCTTCTTAATCATTTCATCTCTAAGAATTGCCTCAGCTTCTCCAAACTATCTGTATAACTGGAGGTAACTCTTAAGAAACTTTTGTTCGTATTATTTTAATGCATTCATGTTCTTCCTAAAACTGGACACATTTCCAGTTTAAGTTGAGCCAATTTTTGAGATAGACTTATCAAAACTCCCTTTTTCTGTATTCGATCCACCTGCTGGTAAAACCCAGAATTCTGTTTGCATAATTAACTGCTTTCTCGTTTGCTCACTACATTCTAATATATATCCTCAATTCTCTTTCATCTTGCACTCCTGTAGATTTGTAGTCTTTATTTAATATTGCTTCACCATATCTTCCCTCAAAATAAATCAGCTCCTAATCCTCTGCATTAAATTTCATTTGAACATTGCGTCAGCCTACCTCTGTCCCCTTAATGTTTATCACTAACCTCCTGACAGTTCACAAAACTTCTAGAAACATAGAATCAAAGAAAGTAGAAGCAGGAGTAGGCCCTTTGATTGTTTGAGCTTACTCCACTGTTTAATATGACCACAGCTAATCATTCATCTCAATACCCTGCTGATGCTTTCTCCCCATATTCACAGATCTCTTTAGCTGGAAGAAATGTAATAAACTCCTTTTTGAATACATTCGACATTTTGGCCTCAACTGCTTTCATAGGGTCACTATTCTCTGGGTGAAGACATTTCTCCTCATCTCAGTCTTAAATGGCTTACCCTATATCCTTCGACTGTGACCCTTGATTTTGGACTTCCAGTCATTGGCAACATCTTTCCTGAGTTTAACCTGCCAGTCGTGTTAGGGTTTTATAGGTTACTATGAGATTCCCCCTCTGTCTTCTAAACTCCAGTGAATATAGAGCAAGCCATTTCAACATTTCTTCAAGCACCAGTTCTGTCATCCCAGAAGTTAGTCTGGCAAACCTTTGTTGCATTCCCTCCACAACCAGAATATCAGATAAGGAAACCAAAACTGCACAAAATGCTCTAGGTGAGTTCTCACTGAGGGCTTGTACAATCACAGCAAGACATCAAGACATCCCTGCTCCTGTACTCAAGTCCTTTAACTATGAAGGCCAACATATCATTCCCTCCTTCATTGTCTGCATGCATACTATCACCAACTGGTGTACAAAGACACCTAGGCCTTTTTTCATCCTACACCCCAAACTTCACCATTCAGATAATAACATGCCATCCTGTTTTGCTTCCAAAATTAATAAGCTGACACTTATCAATATGAAACTTCATCTGCCATGCATTTGCCCACTCATTCGACTTGTCCAAATCACACTGAAGCATCTCTGCCCCCTCTTCACAGCTCCCCCTCCCTCCCAGTTTATGTCATAAGTTCTAAGCTTTGTGTCTTTACTCTGTACACTCTAGTCTATGTCATTAATATATATATCAAGAAAAAGCGGTGTTTCTTAATATTGAATTTTGTGAAACTCCACTATGTGTCTGCCTCTAATCTGAAAAAAAATCACTTATATTCTTCAATATAAACAAAGAACTGTGAATGCTGGTGATCTGAAACAAAAACAGAATTTACTGGCACAACCCAACAACATCTGTGAGCAGAAAACAACATTTCAAGTCCGGTGGATCTTCATTAGAACCAATATTCTTTCTTTTCTGTCACTCAGCAAATGCTGTTACTATCCCTTTTATTCCATAGAATAACATTGCTTGCAATCTTGTTCTGTAGGATTACATTAAACACCCTTTGGAATTGCATGTACATGATGCTAATCATTTGATCCTCATTCAACTTTCCTGTTACATTATAAAAAAATTCAAACAAGTTTGTGAAATACAATTTACCTTTGAAAAAATCCATGCCTGCTTTCTTTAGTTAAACTATATTCACTTTAGTGACAGTTTTGCCTCCAATTTTCCAGTCTAAAAGCTATTTGTTTGCCAAAATTAAACAGACAGGCCAGTAGTTGCTGGGCTTATCACTCTTACTGAGGAAGTGTGTAAATTTTGAAATTTTCCAGTGATTCTGGCACTACTTCAGTATCTCTGGAAGACTGGAAAGTTGTGGCCAATGCCTTTGCAATTTTCACTCTTACTTCCTTTAGCATCCTTTGATGCATCTTATCCAGTCCTGACAATGTACTGACTTTGAGTATGACCAGCTTATCTAATGCTTTCTCTTTATTAATGTTTCGCTCATCCACGATTTTGACTATTGCTTCTTTCCCTCTGACTTGGGTTGTATTTCCTTTCTTAGTAAACACAGATGCAATATAAATATTTAATACAGGAAGCCATGCACTTGAATCCTTTTTAATTCCTGGCCTTTTTCCTTCTTTCACCAGATTTGACTATTTATATGTTCCTAAGGAAGAATTTTAGGTTCTCTTTAGTCTTAGTTATCAGTCTTGTCTCATGCTTTCTCTTTGTTTCTTTTATTCATTTTGCACTTACACTTTGAACCTTTTCTATTCAGCCACATTCTCAGAACATGAATAGGAAAGGTTTGGAGGGACATGGGCCAAGCGCATGCAGATGGGTTTACTTTA